TTTATAAAGTTTTATTTAAAAGTCAATTCTCTATCAATTGTTATATAAATTAACTATCGAATACTATGAAGACGATTTCGAAAATTATTAATTTTGATCACATTGTTTTATCTTCCTCAAAGTGACAAAGGTGTCCATATGATAAAACACCAAAATAAGCTGAAATTTTCATCTTAAACTTCAACATTCGAAATTTTTCAATGCATGTTCAGACGATATAAAGCTAATAGTCTTCAGAGGAAAAATTTTGAACGAATTCTATCATACTAATCTTGAGAAAATCTATCACTAAGAGAAACTTCTTTTGAATATAATATATAAGAAGAGTAAAACTGAAATGAAAAGTTCATTAACACTTAATCACTATATAAACACTTTTGAATATGATGATTGAATTGCCAATTTCATAATGTATATCTGGTAAAAATTTCAGAAACCTATTTCTTCCTAATAAGGAGATATCATAAAAATATCTCTAAATAAATGTTTGAAAAAAAAGATATGTCAAATTAATAAAAATATATTATGAGTACTTTTAATCAGATCGTTATATCTTAGTCAAAAACTATTTATTAGGTCTAAAAATTTGTCTATATGCCTAAAACATTTGCTTTATAAGACGTGATAATATTCATCAAATGCAAAACTTTCGAATGAACAACTATATTGGAAGCCGATAGTAACTCTCGTACAGTGACTCTTATGAACTCATCGATAATATAGCATCAGCAATATTTTCCTCTCTTCTGCCGATGTCAGAATAATCTTGCAGCTCAACCTTTTCTTGCTCTAAGGTATTTATACATGTCATTCTATAAAAGTTTAGTCCTCTTGATCTATAAGACATTTAAAAACCAATTTTATATTGAATGAAAGTTTCTCTATCATAGATCTTGAAAGAATAATCTAATGTTTGATGCGAAGAATTTTGATTATCTTTCAAATATATAAACTGCGTCACGTCCCGAAAAGGTCAAAATGGATTGACTAATCTATATCTGTCGTCGAGAAATCGACATTTTTTTGAGTAATTCAAGAGTTTTCTTTCTATTCTGCTAGAGAAAAAGGTGATTTTCCATAAGTTAAAATAGTTTTAGTTGTGTCTCTTCTCAGCTCTGTGCTTAGAACACTGGATCTTTACTTCGACTTCCATCTAATCACGACTCTAAATAATAATTATATTGATACTTAGCAAATCTGATTCGAAACTCTTCGTTGTATATTAGGTATCATCAGGATAAATTTTGGTTCTAGATCTTCAGTTTTAGCCAGAAACAAGAAAGTATTAAGAAACATTTGTATCTTCACTATGAAGATTACCTCTATGTAAAACTGTCATATAAAACAAAAATATATTTTAACTGATTCTTTTTCTTGGCTTTCTGCAGTAGAGAGTGTCTTATTCCAACATATGATAATATAAATCAAATAAATTTTCTTCGAAACATTAATATCGTCATATTATATATGAATATGAAGGATTTAGTACTTATTGATTTTTGCATCTAACATGAAAATGAATATCGTTCAACTATTTTTCCAATATGCTCTAGCGTGTCATATATTGGTTTTTTTCTAGAATGTTCTTTTACAGCATATATATTGTATTTTTCCAAATTGTCGTCCGCATCTCTCCGATATACTTCCTTCTTTTTTTGTTAGAAAATTTTCTTTTCTATTGCACTTAGCAACACTCCTTTATCATTAGGTTTTGACTTATTAAATAAGTTGGACTCGTATTTACAAAATATACAACTCACAGTAGTGACAAGTTTTCATTTTTACATAACGCCATGACTTTATGCTGAAGAATGTTACTAACCATCTCATCCCTCTGTGCATTGGCATATTTTTCTTTTTATTCCACACAAAACGAAAAAGAGAAAAAAAAACATGTAGACAAATAAAAGCAGACCATATAAATATTGTCGCAAACATTAAGTCTCCTTCACATATGCTACCATATCGATAATGTTTCTTTTCTTCGAGTGGGATGAATTGAAAAAGAAGAAAGGTGAAGAGAGAAAAAAAAATCAAAAAATGCAATGCATGATATAAGACCAGATAGAACAGAATAATAATACATACGAACACACAAGAAAGAACAAGCGATCTAACTAAAGATGTATTATGGCCGATAGCCATAACAAATAAGAATTATTTTTTCATATCTTAAATGCATAGGATGAGTCAAATGAAAAAACACCTATTTCATAAAGACACCTTTCATATTGTTAATTACGTTATACATAGCATGAATTCACTCTTATGTACATATATAAATTATTTCGTCATGAATGATCTTGAATATCATTTATAGAGTATAGATATGAAATTGATTCCAATGCACTTGAAATATGAGATGCTAACATCAAATTCTTTTTTATCTCAAATAATTTTCATAGAATATTAATAATATAAAAATTTACATTTGTGTTATAGTTTACTCATACGTATATTCTTGTTTTATTTTATATAGATTTACTAACAAAAACATTCATATTGTTCATTATTGTCCATAATTTTTCATCATATAAAATGATTTAATTATTCAATAAAGACAACCATAGTATTATTTTATTTATAAGATCAAAGAAAATGAGTATTGTGCAGATTTTCTCAATAAGAGTTAATGTTTGAAAGTCTTTTTCATCGTGAATATATTTTCAAAAGAAAAAATCTGTATTAAGATTCGTGTTGACAGATAAAAAGAAAGGTGAGTATACAATTAAAAATCAATGGATAGAGTCATTTATGTTTATGAAATCGTAGTTGGACGAACGCCAGGTGCCATATTAAAATAATCATCTAAACTACGAAAAAATGAATCACGTTCACGTGGAAGATTTAACACTTGTGTATGATCATGATCAGGTTCAGCATCTAGACGCATACCAAGTTTTGTTGGTATAGATGATTTTGATATAATTGTTTCTTGAACATCAAATATTTCTTCTTTTAAACCATTTGGTCGTGATATACGTTTATATGTTGGTATATAACGTGTAGCAAATGTATGATCAAGTGGAAAAGTAGCTTGAAAAACAGGTACAGTAAATGGTCGAGATAAATATTTCATTGTTGGTGGTGAAATATTTGAATTAATAAAACCTCTTGTTGGAAAAAGTTGTTTAAGATTTTCTATTGATGGTAATCCTTGAGGACGTTCTTTTTCATTAAAATGTTTTCGACAAAACATACATGGACATGATGATATTGGTAATATTGAACCATCAATTTTAACTTGAGAAAATTGATTAGCAGCATGAGCAGGACAAAGAGAAGAATCATTTAAAGATGTTACCATAGAACAATTGCATCGATCATAAACACGACTATGATGTAAACTTTCAGCCAATTTAAATTGAAGTTGACTACGACGAAAACGATTCCAATCAAAAATTGGTTCAGTTAAACGTGTATAAACAGGTGACCATTCAAAATCAAATCGATTATCAATAGCTGGCAATAAAGATGAATGACTTGTACTCATATCGGTCAAAATGACCGACTATCTGGAAAAATAAAAAAAAGGATTAGAATTAATATATAATAGACAAAGGTACTTTGACAATCTAATAAAGCAAGAAGAAGAAGAAGTGGTTCAAGTTTTTTTTTGTATTTAGGAATTAATGACACACACACACATATATATATATAAGAAGAACGAGAGGTTTTTTTTTATAGGCTAGCTAATTTGGATAGCTGACGATAATGTTCAATTCTTACTCATAAAGCCATATCATAAAAATAATTATTACGATGATAAGATCGTGCTGTTGATCTATTAGTAGTTGAATGTTTTTTTGTTGGTAATGCTGGAAGAAAATTTCGTTCATCTGTTGTTTTGCTATGTTCATCTTGTGATGATGGAGTTGGTGGTGCCGATGATGTTCGTGATTTTGATTCATTTGTTTGTTCTTTTAAAATCCATTGTTTTTGTTTATGATATAATTCATTTGCACATACACGATATGGTGGTATATAATTAAATCGTGCACCTTTTTGTCGATAAAATGTATCACCTGTTTTTGATGAACCACGTAAAAAATAATGTGGATAACGATCAAGTAATTCATGAAAAAGTATATAATTGCCAATAGTTTCCGATCGATTTAATTGTTGTTGTT